AGCAGTGTGTGAGGAGACCTGAAAGTGGCACATGGCAGAGTGTGGCGATGGAGACAGCAGCAATGGGAGGCCGTACAGGGACCCATGAGAGACTCTGGACCTGGCAGCAGCATGAGGAGGGGTACAGGGGCCCATGGCAGATTACGGGCCTGGCAGCAGCAGCTATGGGAGGCCCGTAATCTGCCAGCACCCCTATGACAAAAAATGGAACACACCAGCAGTGTGAGGAGACCTGAAAGTGGCACATGGTTTGGGGCATGATTCATGGCAGATTTAGTCAGTTGTGTCAGGAACTGGTGGTTTGAAATCCAGACTAATCCACGCCCTGATTCATTTTCACAAACGTGAGTCTCTCCACACTTTGGGTGGACAGTCGTGTCCTCCGCAGAGTTACAATACCTCCTGCCGCACTAAACACGCGCTCCGATGCCACGCTACTGGCCGGGCATGATGACAGCCTTTCAAGGGCAAATTCAGCTAGTTGGGGCCAAAGGTCAAGTTTCGTTGCCCAGTAGTCAAGGGGATTGTCTACCTCGGTTGGCAGGGTGCTGTCCAAGTAGGCCTAAGCCTGTTGTTTGAGGTCCTGCTCCAGGTCCACCTGATGCTGCTGCTGCTGCGGCTGGTTAGTAGTTTCCTCACTGCGCTGGTGAAGAAAGCTACTCATCATCGACTGCAGACTGAGCTGAGCAGCTGCTGCTGGTGGAGCTGCCACTGCTCCTACCACCCCACCCCTCCCCTGCTGCCATGGCAGCGGAACGCGAGCGCACAGGGCCCACAGTGTCTGAGGAGGATGGACGTTGTTGGCGCAGAAAGGCAGAGACCAGCTGACTACATAGTGGTTTTTTATAGTTATTTTGGCCCCCTCTCAGCAGGTGTGAAAAAGGCCCCATTTTTGAACGGTAGCGAGGGTCCAACAAGGTGGACAGCCAAAAGTCATCCCTCTGTCTGCAGATGGTTAGGATTCGACCTGTCGCTACGCAAGCAAGCGAGCATGCTATGGGCCATTTGTGCCAAGGAATGCGAGGGACTCCCTGCCTCCATCTCCACAGCATACTGCCACGGTGCGTCTGGGTCCTCTGTCTCCTCCTCCTCCTCCTCTACCAGATGCTCCTGCTCCTCCACTCCTGTGTCCGCTGAGTGGAAAAACCACCCATTTCACTCATAATTCCTGAGCACCAATGTCCTCCTCTACCTCCTCCTCTTCTTCCTGTCCTGCCCCCACAGGGGTCATGTGGCGTTGAGATCTGTGCGCCACGTCTACCGCACCCTGACCAGCCATTGTTAACAGCATTTGTTCCAGGACGTGCAACAGAGGAATGACGTCGTTCATCCCCATAGTCCTGCCGACTCAGAATAGCGTGGCCTCCTCAAAGGGCCTGAGCAAGCGCAGGTGTCACGCATGAGCTGCAATGGCTGACATCTAAGTTTACACAGGGAGTACCTTTATCCGCTTGTAACATCAGGAAATCTGTGATGGCCTTTCGCTGTTCGTAAAGGCGGTCTAACATATGTAGGGTTGAATTCCACCTTGTTGCAATGTCACAGCATGAGGAGTCGGTACGGGGGCCCATGGCAGATTACGGGCCTGGCAGCAGCTATGGGAGGCCCGTAATCTGCCAGCACCCTATGACAAAATGTAAACACACCAGCAGTGTGAGGAGACCTGAAAGTGGCACATGCAGCAGAGTGTGGCGATGGAGACAGCAAGCAATGGGAGGCCGTACAGGGACCCATGAGAGACTCTGGACCTGGCAGCAGCATGAGGAGGCGGTACAGGGGCCCATGGCAGATTAGGGGCCTGGCAGCAGCTATGGGAGGCCCGTAATCTGCCAGCACCCTATGACAAAAAATGGAACACACCAGCAGTGTGAGGAGACCTGAAAGTGGCACATGGCAGAGAGTGTGGCGATGGAGACAGCAGCAATGGGAGGCCGTACAGGGACCCATGAGAGACAGACTCTGGACCTGGGCAGCAGCATGAGGAGGGGGTACAGGGGGCCCATGGCAGATTAGGGGCCTGGCAGCAGCAGCTATGGGAGGCCCGTAATCTGCCAGCACCCTATGACAAAAAATGGAACACACCAGCAGTGTGTGAGGAGACCTGAAAGTGGCACATGGCAGAGTGTGGCGATGGAGACAGCAGCAATGGGAGGCCGTACAGGGACCCATGAGAGACTCTGGACCTGGCAGCAGCATGAGGAGGCGGTACAGGGGCCCATGGCAGATTAGGGGCCTGGCAGCAGCTATGGGAGGCCCGTAATCTGCCAGCACCCTATGACAAAAAATGGAACACACCAGCAGTGTGAGGAGACCTGAAAGTGGCACATGGCACAGAGTGTGGCGATGAGAGACAGCAGCAATGGACCTGGTACAGGGACCCATGAGGAGGACTCTGGACTTGGGCAGCAGCATGAGGAGGCGGTATAGGGGCCCATGGCAGATTAGGGGCCTGGCAGCAGCTATGGGAGGCCCGTAATCTGCCAGCACCCTATGACAAAAAATGGAACACACCAGCAGTGTGTGAGGAGACCTGAAAGTGGCACATGGCAGAGTGTGGCGATGGATGGAGACAGCAGCATGGGATGGGAGGCCGTACAGGGACCCATGAGAGACTCTGGACCTGGCAGCAGCATGAGGAGGCGGTACAGGGGCCCATGGCAGATTAGGGGCCTGGCAGCAGCTATGGGAGGCCCCGTAATCTGCCAGCACCCTATGACAAAAAATGGAACACACCAGCAGTGTGAGGGACCTGAAAGTGAAAGTGGCACATGGCATGGAGGACAGGGTGGACCACTGGACCTGGCAGCAGCATGAGGAGGCGGTACAGGGGCCCATGGCAGATTAGGGGCCTGGCAGCAGCTATGGGAGGCCCGTAATCTGCCAGCACCCTATGACAAAAAATGGAACACACCAGCAGTGTGTGAGGAGACCTGAAAGTGGCACATGGCAGAGTGTGGCGATGGAGACAGCAGCAATGGGAGGCCGTACAGGGACCCATGAGAGACTCTGGACCTGGCAGCAGCAGCATGAGGAGGGCGGTATAGGGGCCCATGGCAGATTAGGGGCCTGGCAGCAGCTATGGGAGGCCCGTAATCTGCCAGCCCTATGACAAAAAATGGAACACACCAGCAGTGTGAGGAGACCTGAAAGTGGCACATGTTTGGGGCATGATTCATGGCGGATTTAGTCAGTTGTGTCAGGAACTGGTGGTTTGAAATCCAGACTAATCCACGCCTGATTCATTTTCACAAACGTGAGTCTCTCCACACTTTGGGTGTGGGACAGTCGTGTCCTCCGCGGAGTTACAACCTCCTGCCGCACTAAACACGCGCTCCGATGCCACGCTACTGGCCGGGCATGACAGCCTTTCAAGGGCAAATTCAGCTAGTTGGGGCCAAAGGTCAAGTTTCGTTGCCCAGTAGTCAAGGGGGATTGTCTACCTCGGTTGGCAGGGTGCTGTCCAAGTAGGCCTAAGCCTGTTGTTTGAGGTCCTGCTCCAGGTCCACCTGATGCTGCTGCTGCTGCTGGCTGCGGTCTGGTTAGTAGTTTCCTCACTGCGCTGGTGAAGAAAGCTACTCATCATCGACTGCAGACTGAGGCAGCCGCTGCTGGTGGAGCTGCCACTGCTCCTACCACCCCACCCCTCCCCTGCTGCCATGGCAGCAGCGGAACGCGAGCGCACAGGGCCCACAGTGTCTGAGGATGGACGTTGGCGCAGAAAGGCAGAGAGACCAACTGACTACATAGGTGGTTTTTATAGTACGTTATTTTGGCCTCCCTCTCAGCAGGTGTGAAAAAGGCCACCATTTTTGAACGGTAGCGAGGGTCCAACAAGGTGGACAGCCAAAAAGTCATCCCTCTGTCTGATGGTTATTATTCGGCTGTCGCTACGCAAGCAAGCGAGCATGCTATGGGCCATTTGTGCCAAGGAATGCGAGGGACTCCCTGCCTCCATCTCCACAGCATACTGCCACGGTGCGTCTGGGGTCCTCTGTCTCCTCCTCCTCCTCCTCTACCAGATGCTCCTGCTCCTCCACTCCTGTCCGCTGAGTGGAAAAACCACCCATTTCACTCAATAATTCCCTGAGCACCAATGTCCTCCTCTACCTCCTCCTCTTCTTCCTGTCCTGCCCCCACAGGGGTCATGTGGCGTTGAGATCTGTGCGCACACGTCTACCGCACCCTGACCAGCCATTGTTAACAGCATTTGTTCCAGGACGTGCAACAGAGGAATGACGTCGTTCGTTCATCCCATAGTCCTGCCGAACTCATCGAGACAGCAGCAATGGGACGAATAGCGTGGCCTCTCAAAGGGCCCTGAGCAAGCGGCAGGTGTCACGCATGAGCTGCCAATGGCTGACATCTAAGTTACACAGGGAGTACCTTTATCCGCTTGTAACATCAGGACAATCTGTGATGGCCTTTCGCTGTTCGTAAAGGTGGTCTGAGAAAGCATATGTAGGGTTGAATTCCACCTTGTTGCAACGTCACAGCATGAGGAGTCGGTACGGGGGCCCATGGCAGATTAGGGGCCTGGCAGCAGCTATGGGGGCCCGTAATCTGCCAGCACCCTATGACAAAAAATGGAACACACCAGCTGTGTGAGGAGACCTGAAAGTGGCACATGGCAGAGTGTGGCGATGGAGACAGCAGCAATGGGAGGCCGTACAGGGACCCATGAGAGACTCTGGACCTGGCAGCAGCATGAGGAGGCGGTTATAGGGGCCCATGGCAGATTAGGGGCCTGGCAGCAGCTATGGGAGGCCCGTAATCTGCCAGCACCCTATGACAAAAAATGGAAACACACCAGCAGTGTGAGGAGACCTGAAAGTGGCACATGGCATGAGTGTGGCGATGGAGACAGCAGCAATGGGAGGCCGTACAGGGACCCATGAGAGACTCTGGACCTGGCAGCAGCATGATGGAGGCGGTATAGGGGCCCATGGCAGATTAGGGCCTGGCAGCAGCTATGGGAGGCCCGTAATCTGCCAGCACCCTATGACAAAAAATGGAACACACCAGCAGTGTGAGGAGACCTGAAAGTGGCACATGGCAGCAAGTGTGGCGATGGAGACAGCAGCAATGGGAGGCCGTATACAGGGACCCATGAGAGACTCTGGACCTGGCAGCAGCAGCATGAGGAGGGCGGTATAGGGGCCCATGGCAGATTAGGGGCCTGGCAGCAGCTATGGGAGGCCCGTAATCTGCCAGCAGCACCCTATGACAAAAAATTGAACAACCAGCAGTGTGAGGAGACCTGAAAAGTGGCACCTGGCAGAGTGTGGCGATGGAGACTGCAGCAATGGGAGGCGTACAGGGACCCATGAGAGACTCTGGACCTGGCAGCAGCATGAGGAGGCGGTACAGGGGCCCATGGCAGATTAGGGGCCTGGCAGCAGCTATGGGAGGCCCGTAATCTGCCAGCACCCTATGACAAAAAATGGAACTCAGACACCAGCAGTGTGAGGAGACCTGAAAGTGGCACATGGCAGAGTGTGGCGATGGAGGGACAGCAGCAATGGGAGGCCGTACAGGGACCCATGAGAGACTCTGGACCTTGGCAGCAGCATGAGGAGGCGGGTATAGGGGCCCATGGCAGATTAGGGGCCTGGCAGCAGCTATGGGAGGCCCGTAAATCTGCTGCAGCACCCTATGACAAAAATGGAAACACACCAGCAGTGTGAGGAGACCTGAAAGTGGCACATGGCATGAGACACTGTGGACCTGGCAGCAGCATGAGGAGGCGGTACAGGGGCCCATGGCAGATTAGGGGACCTGGCAGCAGCTATGGGAGGCCCTGTAATCTGCCAGCCCTCTATGACAAAAAATGGAACACACCAGCAGTGTGAGGAGACCTGAAAGTGGCACATGGCAGAAGAGTGTGGCGATGGAGACAGCAGCAATGGGAGGCCGTACAGGGACCCATGAGAGACTCTGGACCTGGCTAGCAGCATGAGGAGGCGGTAGGGTTTGAACGGGTATAGGGGCCCATGGCAGATTAGGAGGCCTCCCTGGCAGCAGCTATGGGAGGCCCGTAATCTGCCAGCACCCTATGACAAAAAAATGGAACACACCAGCAGTGTGAGGAGACTGAAATGAAAGTGGCACATGGCAGAGTGTGGCGATCGAGATGGAGACAGCAGCAATGCGGGAGGCCGTACAGGGACCCATGAGAGGACTCTGGACCTGGCAGCAGCATCAGAGGAGGCGGTATTATAGGGGCCCATGGCAGATTAGGGGGCCTGGCAGCAGCTATAGGGGATGGCCGTAATCTGCCTGCAGACCGCCTATGACAAAAAAATGGGAAAACTCACACCAGCTGTGTGAGGAGACCTGAAAGTCAAGTAGGGCACATGTTTGCCAGTGGCATGATTCATGGCAGGTATTTTTAGTCAGGTTTTGTGTCAGTGAACTGGTGGTTTTGAAATCCAGGGACTAATCCACGCCTGATTTCATTTTCACAAACGTGGGTTGGTCTCTGCGCCACACTTTGTGGTGGACAGTCGTGTTCCTTCGCGGACTGTTACAATACCTCCTGCCTGCACTAAAACACTGCCGCTCCGATGCCACGCTAACTGGCCGGGTCATGATCATGACAGCCTTTCCAAGGGCAAATTCTGCTAGTTGGGGCTAAAGGTCAAGTTTCGTTGCCCAAGTATGGCAGGGGGGGCTTTTCCCAAATGGCCCAAACCTGTTGTTTTTAGGGCCTGCTCCAGGCCACCTGACTGCTGCTGCGCGGTGGGTTTTTGTAGTTTCCCCACTGCGCTGGTTTAAGGAAAAACTATCTTTATGCTGCAAAACTGAGGCAGCCGCGGGTGGTGGAAACTACCATGCTCCTTTCCCCCCCACCCCCCCCTGCTGCCCGGGGAGCGGGGAACCCGGGGGCGCACAGGGCCCACGTGTCGAGGGTGGACGTTGGCGCACAAAGGCAGAGCCAACTGATAATAGGTGGTTTTTTAGTACGTTATTTTGGCCCCCCTCCCCGCGGTTTTGGGGAAAAAAGGGCCCCCATTTTTGAACGGGAGCGAGGGTTTTAACAAGGTGGGCAGCCCAAAAATTATCCCTTTTGTCTGAAAGGGTTTTTATTTGGGTTTTCGTAAAGCAAACAACCCAGGTGGGTATTTGGGGGATTTGTGCCAAGGAATGGCGGGGGGGGACTCCCCCCTCCCCTCTCCCCAGCTTCTTTCCCCTTTTCGTCCGGGTCTCTGTTTTTCCTCCTCCTCTACCGATGCCCTGCTCCTCCCTCCCCGTCCGCTGGTGGAAAAAAAAAAACCCATTTCAAAAAAAATTCCCGAGCACCAAAAGTCCTCCTCTTAAATCCTCCTCTTCTTCCTGTCCTGCCCCCCCAAAAGGGGGCATTGGCGTTAGATTGTGCGCCCCCGGGTTTTTAAAGCAACCCCGAAAGCCATTGTTAAAAAAACATTTGTTCCAGGACGTGCAAAAGGGAATGACGTCGTTCTTTCCCCTGTTTCCCGGGGACTCACAAAAAAGCGTGGGCCCCCTCAAAGGGCCTGGGGCAAGCGGCAGGTGTCACGAAAGAGTTCCAATGGCTGGAACGAACACAGGGGGGTACCTTTTTTCCGCTTGGGAAAAATAGGAAATCGGTGATGGGGCCTTTTGCTGTTTGTAAAGGGGGTCCAACATGGTAGGGTTTAATTTTTCCACCTTGTTGCAACGTTTGCAATCAGGCGATTTCTGTTTGGGAATTTTCCCTTTTGCCCCTTCAGCTTTAAGGGGGTGTGCCCTTTTCGGGTTTGGTATGGCTGAAATGCATTCAAAGTTTCGTGACATTTTTAAAGGTTTTTTGCAGTGGGATTGGGGGATTTTAGGAAAAAGCCCTTTACAACCCGATTGAACAGTGAGCCTGATGGCGCCCTGGCACAACCTTCCTTTACGCAGGGGCAGGGCACCCCTGTTTCTTTCCGTTGTCGGTCAACATGGGTTTCCCATTTTCAGTTGCGTGGAGGGCAGCCATTTTGTCGATTTTCGTTTAAATTTCACTGGGAAATTCCTCCCCCGTGTGACTACGTTTGCCAAGGGTTCCAGGTGCAGCCAGGTGAAAACCGGTTTCGCCCTGCACATTTTGGGTATGGGGTTGGGGGAATGGGACTTGGCACGGGGGGGGGCGGCTGAGGACACGGCGGAAAAAGAGGTGGTAGGGGGCGGGCCCTCTTTTGTGGCCCCAAAGGGCGTGCAAAGTGGAGGCAAAAGCACGTTTACCTGTCCGGTTGCTGGTGCGGCTGTTTCGGCACCACGTTCACCCCGTGGGCCGTAATGGGATGTACTGTCCCCGACCGTTTGTTTTCAGTCCACACGTCGGCCTGCCGTCACTTTTTGGGGAGGGGCCGCATGCTCAAAGACTGGCCCACCATCTCTTCTACATGTGGAAAGCAGGGGGGCCTGCCTTTTTGGCGAAGAAAGACGGCTTGGCACTCTCCCCCGCGGCGCGGCCAACATCATTTCTCGGAAAGGTGCTGAGTCACCCCCTTGGAAAGGGAGGGACTGCAGCACCAAACAACTTTTGGGCAGGGGGGACGTTCCCGCTTTTGCCCGTGGGTGCGTGGGTCGCAAAAACTGTTGTTCTTGGAAACGGATTCCAAGGGAAAAATTTCTGACGGAATTTCCCTTTAAGAGGGTGCAGGAGAAGGAGCATCGAACGGCGGAAGATGCCAACGAGCGGGCAATCCCCCCAGGGAGAGGTGTTGGAGCCTTGGGGGTGGTGGGGGTGGGGGGGATTGAGGGGGGTGAGGGGTTGGGGGGGGAAAGTAAACGGAGGGGTGATGGGGGGGG